TATATATATATATATATATATTTATTAAGCAGCAAATCAGCATATTAGAATGATTAGAATTAATTTAAAATATATAAAAATACAAAACAGTTATTTTTGTAGATATAGACAGTTATAGACTTTATAGTTATTTTTAACAGATATATTTCACAATGCCACAATTTTACTGTATTTTTAATCAAAAATCGTCTTTCAAAAAAATCATAGCATCCTCTTACATTTGAATGGTAGTGTCTATATATAAAATTATTTATTACAAGTATCTTAGCAGTTATTAAGTGCAAAAACAAAATTATCTTTTCAATTCAGTTTAAATGAGTATTACTAAAACCTTCTTATCTGTTAAAGCTCTTATTTTGATCAAAGGATTTGTTTTTTCAGAATAAAAAGAAATGCCTTATAAATGACCCATTAAAAGGGTGAATAATTGGTGATTTTTTTAGATTAACTAAAACATTTCAAACATGTAGCTTAATGCAGCTTGAACTGAAGTGTGTTTACATGTAAAATCAAATTTAGACACTGTCTGATCTGTGTTCTGTTCTCTTTCCAGCAATTTGGTAAAATCTTAGATGTTGAAATAATATTTAATGAACGAGGATCAAAGGTACGTTTGTGACTCACTTCCTTTGCATGCTCTCATTCTTGACCAATCAGAACAGTCCAGTGAGTTTAGAGGCATAATGTTTATTTAAAAAGGCAAAATATCCAGTGATGAATTAGTACCTGTATTGTACAGAATAAACGCTTGTTGTAGTCATGTTAACGTATGTAATGCAATCTCATATCAGCTGCTGTGCTAGAGTTATTAGTGCCCTGTTCAATGGAGTGTGTGGAAATGTGTTTGGCACTTGTCTTTGTTCTGTTACGGTGTCAAATGAAGAACATTCTCCACTGAGCTCCGTAATTGACAGCGTTATTCAGTGTTATGACACTTAGCATCATTCCTGTGCACAAACAATTTGCTTTATTGAAATATGAATTATGTTCTTCTGTTCCAGCTGGGGGAGATAATGATGCATGTTAACAAGTTCTATAGTTCACAATCCTTTATCATTTGTCTTACAAGTTTTTCTTTTCTTTATGTTGCGTTATACAGTGTTAAATGACAGCATTTATTTTATTCCACCTTTTTCCAATAGATTTTGTTTATATGAAGACTTACTAAATGTATATCCCTTTGTTTGGTTTCTCTCTCTTTTTTTAATTTCATTAAGTGACTTTACTTTCTTAGACGTGCTATTTCATTTCATTTCTCCTCAGTGGTTCTAACAGAACCCGTAAATTATGGTTACTCTCGATGCTTTGCATGGTGCAGGAGAAAAGAGGAGGAGAAAGAGAGAGGGGTAAATGCAGCAGCAGCTGTTTTTGTGTGTGAGAATGGCAGAGGTAGAGCCACAGTGGATTTCTTGGGTGTATGACTGAATTAATAATGTGCATGTTGTTCTCCCCCCTCCCCTCTCCCACCTGCATGCAGGGTTTTGGTTTCGTAACTTTCGAAAATAGTGCCGATGCGGACAGGGCCAGAGAGAAATTACACGGCACGGTGGTAGAAGGTCGTAAAATAGAGGTGCATGTAACAAATATTTCCCTTCTCAATTGCTTTTTGTTTAGTTTTGTTTTGTTTTATTCATTTGTCGTTCTTGTTGTTATTCTTGTTTTGTGTGTCAGTGTGTGCCTCACTCTCATCTCACTATTTTAGATGCATCACTCGTCTTTTCCTGTGTGTGCTCCTCTCTCTGTCCCTCTTTCCTTCCCTCCCTCCCTCCCTCCCCACTAGATAGATAGTTCACCCCAAAAAAAATTCTGTCGTTCAAAACCTGTAAGACCATCATTCGTTTTCAGAACACAAATTAACATATTATTTTATGAAATCCGAGAACTTTCTGACTAGGGTTGCCACCTTCAGCGAGGCAAAATAAGGGACACCCATTCACGCCCTGAAGGATCAGGGATCCTGATCTCCCCCCCCCAAAAAAAACAAAATTAATATTGTTATTTTAAATTTGATTATTTATAATTATTAATTATTATTAGTCTTTTTTGACAGTTCTGCAGATGTTACCTGGATGGGATGAATTGTTGTTCCTTTTTTTTCTTTTTTTATTCATTGGCTTAAATTAGGACTACATTATTATGTAATTATTTGTCCAATTTTTTATCTAAATAATTTAGTATTTTTAATCTTTTTAAAATGCCAGATTGTATATGACATGATTATTTATTATGTATATATGTATGATTCATTTAAATGATAAATTAATAAATAGGGTCTAAAATGTATTATAATCTATTAATTAATCTGTCTAATAATGTCTAAAATATAATAATTAAAGCTCTGATAAATTATGGAATATTATATTAACAGACTATCCAATTTTTAATAAAACAATAGGCCTATACCTTTAGAAGCACGGATGTGTCTGTCAGTTTAAAGGTACGGTTCATTCAAAAATGAAAATTCTGTCATAATTTACCCAGGTTGTTCTAAACCTGCATAAAGTTATTTCTTCTGTTGAACACAAAAGAAGATACTTTGAAGAATGTGGGTAACTAAACAGCTTCTGGTCCTCAGTAACTTCCATAGTAGAGAAAAAATACTAGTAAAGTCATGGGGACCACAAACTGTTAGGTTACCCACATTCTTTAAAGTATCTTCTTTTGTGTTCAACAGAAGAAAGAAATTAGTACAGGTTTGGAACAACTTGTGGGTGTGTAAACGATGACAACATTTTTTTTTTTGGGTGAACTGTCCCTTTAAGTCAGACAGTCCACAGTGATCAACTGAAATGCCTCTCTGCAAACTGTGCGTTCATCATTAGTTACAGGACAGACCCATTGATAACTTTCCCATTCAGCCCTACATCTGGAGAGCCTTGTGTTCAAAGGGCGGACATGAGCTCCTAGATGTTTTAAACCGCGGGACAAATCGCGTCCCGTATTGGTTTGATACGGGACGCATCATTTTACCTTTAAATACGGGACGATTCCGTATTTTAAGGGACGGGTGGCAACCCTACTCCCCACATTGTATCCCTAATATGTTTCAGTTATTCTAAGATCTCAAATCAAATATAGTACGGTGCTCGCCGTTATCTAATTGGTTTGCTTTTGTTGGCATTCACTTGTGTTTATTCGGTTCTTTTCTGTTCTATTCTGTTGTTGTTGTTTTAAAGCATATTTTGGCTTAATAAGCAAACGGGTGCAGTAAGTCATCAGGCAGAGTGCAAACAGCATTTGTGTGATGATAGCCAGAGGCCTTATTGCAAAGTTGACGAGGGATCTGCTCTTAAAGCGGCCCGAAGTCGGCAGCGCTTGTTAATTGGCCTGAAGACGCTGCTATTAGACAGAGCTGCTCTCAAACACAAGCCTATTAAAATCTACAGCTCAAATTACACTTACTTTACAGTCTAGAACAGTCACCGAAGGTGAAATATTGTAGCAAGACTGATCTGCAGGTCTGCAGCGAAAGTGGGCATCTTTATAGCCAATTCCCATTTGACAGTTGTGCTTCTTTCTTTACTTGATTTTTTTTTCTTTTCAATTTTAAGAGTTATTCGGATGTGGTGCCGTCTTTAAGTAAGATGTTGCCTATTTTGCCTTCTCATTTCCCCCCCTTTTCCAACGGTAGCTGGTAGGCCCCTCACCAAACTCACTAACCGTGGTAACAATACATACACACGCGGGCGATGGCGGCGAATGGTAAGTGGAGAGCCATCTGCCATTTCACGAACTCCGCGCTGATACCTCGTGACTGTTTTTTGACTTGATGTTGAGTTTCTTGATGCTGTTTTTTCCTGGTACGCGGTACTTGAGTGAACATTTAGCTTCCTGAGAGGCTCTGATTGGATTGAACTGAATCGTGCGCATCCTACTCAGATTCTGAACTCCATGATTATGTTAAATAATGCACCCTCTTTTTATATCCTTTGTTAGCTGTCCTTTCGGCTTGAATGATTTTCTTTCGTTATGACTTTTTTTTTTTTTTGGTTATTATTCTTGTGATGAAGCACAAGGCTCTTGGAGTGTTGAATGCTAAATGTTGCTTTGTTTTCCGACTGTACCTCAACTCTGAATGTTTAGTGTATGTTGCGCAGTGCCAAACGTTTTTTCTTTCTTTCCATTCCTATGTTTTCTTTCTTTTCGTTTAACCTAATCGTTCCCTCTCCACTGCATGCTGTCTCATATTCGATGCCTTTCATTTGTTGAGTGCATTTTGTGTGTTTTTGTTGTTTTTTTTCTCTATGTACTCCTTCAACTTGATCTTTTTTTTGATGACGCATGCTGACGAGTCTTTTTATGAGACTATTGCATATATTTTCTTTGCTTTATGTGTCTTACCACTTTTCTTTAACTGTTTGTTATGATCTGTAATCATTTTGAAAAGCTTCACTGTAATGCATGCAATATTTGTTAAAACAATATTTTCAGTATTACAGCTTTAGCTTCAGTATGTTGCTTGCTCACACACTTCTGTTTGTGCTCAGGTTAACAATGCAACAGCACGGGTAATGACGAATAAAAAGACCGTCAACCCATATGCAAACGGTAAGAACAAGTTTCAAACCTGAAGATCGTGTTCTCAAAAGAGCATCTTGTGCAGATCAGTGTCACAAATGTACTCATTTATTTACCAACCTAGTAACAGTGCAGAATATTAAATATTTCATATTCATTTAATGCTTATTAGCATGCTATTGTCTTATTCACACTCAGTAGCTTTCTGTGGCCACAGACCTCACAGATTCAAACGAAGTTCTTGTAATTCTCGGCTTTCTGAAAATGGTTTTCACTGCAGTTCTCTTCCTCACCGAAAAAGTTTAAATAGAAGTGAAATGCCGAGACAACCTTTTAGATCCCAGTTGATATCACTGAAATCTCTCTCTTTTTTTGTACTTATGGAGGGCTTAAACAGACAGGCCATTTGTAGAGGTTAGAATCAGAGAGAAATCTGTCAGGCCGCTCCGTGCCCTTTCCTTACTCTGGATGACAGCAGCGCTTCAGTGTGGTCAGCCCTCTACTGACATCATTATGCATTAGCCTGGAGGTTCTAGTTAGCCAGAATCCATCTCTATGTCTTGTGTAGGATCAGATGTAAATTTCTAGTGGTGCAGATATCAGATCTCCCTCTCTGTCTTATGTCTAGGCTGGAAGTTGAATCCAGTCATGGGTGCAGTCTACAGCCCAGAATTCTATGCAGGTGAGTGGATCCGCATTTAAAAGAAACTGGCTCTGTAATTCATTATACCTTTAGTAAAAAGATTGGGTATGCATGTTATTCCAATGATGAAATAGTTTGATTTTGGGACATAAAATAGCTCCAACAAAAACAAGACTTTCGAAAAATGTAGGGAAGAATGCCATGGGAAATTATCAAAAGCATTTTTTTTTTCTTAAAAAGTAAAATTGTAAAATGTATGAATTATTTGTAAATGTAGAACTCCTATGAATTAAAATTAACCAAATCATTATAATTTATCTTCACCTTTCTGTAGATTTTCTGAAGTTTTGTGTTCTTTTTTTGTTGTGTTCTTTATGAATAAACGCAATCATATTACGATAAATGCTGCAAATGAATAATTGCACAAAGCATCACTGTAACACAGAGGGTTAAATGCATTTGCATTTAGGGCTAATGGGCAGCTTCACTAATGTGCTTTCACTGCAAAAAATGCTTTTCTTACTTAATGATTTTTTGTCTTGTTTCCAGCCCAAGAAGAATTTTCTAGACAAGTAAAAATTATTGTCTAATTTTCAGAAAAAAAAACATGTCAAAATTAAGTAAATTTTTGCTTGAAACAAGCAAAATAATCTGCCATTGGGGTAAGAAAAATAATCTTGTTATCTGTTTGAAATAAGATTATTTTGCTTACCCCATTGGCAGATTATTTTGCTTGTTCTAAGCAAAAAAACACTTAATTTTGACTAGTTTTTTCTGAAAACAAGATTTAAGAATTTTTAGATATTTTGGCTGAAAACAAGACAAAAAAATCTAAGTAAGAAAAGCATTTTTTGCGGTGTTGTGTGTGAAAAAAGTTCTCAACCCACAAGCCCAGAATCATCTGTTTATGAACACTGCAGAGGATATGAAATGGTGAATTACTCTGATATCAGATATGATATTTTCATATTCCTTTCAAAAAGCAAGTTTTAAAGCTCACTGTTTTCCTGTTATGTTATTTTATTACCATATGTTGGATTTACAGTGGCTCCAAATGGTATTGGCAGCTTAAAAATGTATGAATCTCATTGCATTAGATAAGTCACTGGATGAAAAATCAAAGAAAGTGCCATTCATTTTGAAGAAAGAAAGTGCACTTTTCACGCTAATAATTTGATATTTCATAGTAAATGCGATGAACTGTAAGAAAAGCATTTTTTGCAGTGTTGTGTGTGAAAAAAGTTCTCAACCCACAAGCCCAGAATCATCTGTTTATGAACACTGCAGAGGATATGAAATGGTGAATTACTCTGATATCAGATATGATATTTTCATATTCCTTTCAAAAAGCAAGTTTTAAAGCTCACTGTTTTCCTGTTATGTTATTTTATTACCATATGTTGGATTTACAGTGGCTCCAAATGGTATTGGCAGCTTAAAAATGTATGAATCTCATTGCATTAGATAAGTCACTGGATGAAAAATCAAAGAAAGTGCCATTCATTTTGAAGAAAGAAAGTGCACTTTTCACGCTAATAATTTGATATTTCATAGTAAATGCGATGAACTACACCAGTGGTTACTCTGCTAATAAAACTACCCCAGAAATGCCCCCAAAAAGTTACTTGTTATTTGTTATAGGTGCCACTAGCCCAGCTAACAAAAATTTGTTCTAAGTACATTTTGCTAATATTTCCATTGTAATATGAAAACATTATATCTGAACATTCAAAACATTTCAAAAATGTTTTTAAAAAGTGTTATTTTGCTTATGCAAATGTCAAAGGAACATTCCATTTTATAATGGGAACATTACTTGTGAATGTTCTCTGAATCTTCTGAAACAAGTAGTGACATTTAAAAACGTTTCAGAAATAAAACACTCCATGAGCAATGTATAAGTAATGTTTTTGTGCTAATGCTTTGAGAACATTAGTAAAGACCAGGTAACTCTGAACGAACATTGCTAGAAGAATGTTTGTTCCTAACTTTGAGAGAACCTTGCCAGAATGTTAACCTGAGAATGTTCTGAGAATGTTCCTTGTTAGCTAAGTGGTTTGAACAGAGTGGGTGGTAGAATGAAATTCTAACATTTTAAGTGTGACTTAAAAGTGTCCAGATACTTGTTGGGTCTTTGTCAGTGTTGTTCAGTTTTTGGTTTAAAATATCAACCACAAACAAGCAGAAAATTGTAGCAGTTGTTGTTTAACTGCATTATTTGACGGAGGCATAGTTCTGGGCCTGGTGTTTGGAGGTGTGTATAATGCGTGACCTTAATCTACGGGCTCTGGCATCAGCTTGAAAGAGCTGGCAGGCAGGAAGTGATTATTCTAATCACCCAAAGGGCCTGTTTCACAATGTGCATCTGTGTTCGCTGGCCTATTGGCAAGAGGCTCCAAGACGCCATTGTCACAACTGCAAACACGCTACACATCTTTGAAAACATAATCCAGCGAGCTTCCAGACTCCCAGGGCTTCATTTCATTTTATGGGCCTTTGAAAGCAAGCGGGTTTCGCTGGTTTAAACACACGCTGAACTCTTTTTCTCTCGTTTTCTTCGGTCATCCCCTCCTCAACCTTGGCCATCCCAGCCTCTGACCTTCCCCAAACATCATTACCTCCTCCATTATATGGGAAAATATCAAGATTTTATGATAAGAAACGGGAAGGCAAAAATATTGAGGTGATGGTTAAATCGAATTGTCTGTCGACACAAGGGCATCAAAGGGCTGAAATATATTTTATAAATTAAAATCAATATTTTCAATTTCTCTGTCAGTCGTTTGCCTAATTCAGCGCACATTCTGTTAATTACAAAATGGCTCATTATTGATTTGCTTTCGTCTCACCTTTCAAGTGTCCAAACAGCCCACATCCCATTAAGGTGCGAATGTTTTGTTCTTCCCAGCACTCACCGTTTCTTTTTTTTTTTTGTAGATCTTTGTCTTAATTATAATTAAAGCGTCGTTAATACGCCCGAATTGTGGCGATATCGGAAAACGCCTCAGATCTTTTCGTTTGTCTAATGGCAGAAATAGGCTTTGGCACATAGCTGCTGGGATTGCAGATAGAAAGACTGCACAGAGCGATTGAGCGTGAATTTGAATGGTGACTAGTAAGCTAGAAAGTTTCCTATATAAACAAATATCCTGAAGGACCGGGATGGAAAAGGAGCGTCTTTGATTCATGAGACAGTCAGATGTGTGACGTGAGGTTGGTTTCTGAACAAGCCTCAGCGGTCGCCACTCGAAGTGGCTCTCACCTGCGGCAGACTGTTGATTTAAGATAGCTTTGATGTTCATTAACAGTTCTCCGGCTGAGGCGAATGAAAGCTATTGGCACAAGACTGAGGGATGACCAACGTGCCAGACCTCGCTTGTCTGCCGGGCTGATCTCTGATTAAGTGTTACAGCTGACGGAGATTGGGCGGATGTTTGAAAATTAGACTTCCAGCAATTTACGCCCAGAGATTATGCAAATTGAGGCCACCTCTGACCACGGGAAATCTGAGGCTCTTCTTTAAAGACGCACACATACACACGCTGTCTTTCTCTAATGCATGGGGGGGGGGGGTTTTCAGGAAATGAGTTCACACACGAGCAAGGTTAAAAAGATGCAGCTCTAGCAATTATTTTTTGAAAGTCATGCAGTATATGCTGCCTGATAACAAAAGGCAAATATAAGGGTGTTTCCTCAACTATGGGCACTTTTAGAAGATACACGTCTGACAGCTATACTTGTGCATAGACACATGCATCATAAGAGAATTCTGTTTTATTTTTGTTCCTAAACCAATAATGTCATTTCTATCACATATAAAAATGGTGTATTTTGTTTTCCTTGCTAAGGTAAATTTAATGATTAGCCTTTTATGTATTCAAAATGCACACACTTAATGTTTTAACATTTTTGCACAATTTGACTATTACTATGCAAACTTATAATTTCAACTTGAGAAAAGTCAGAATCGTGGGATATAAACTTGCAGTTGTAAGGGAAAAAGTCACGATTACTTTTTCTTTTTTATATATATGTCATAGTGGCAAAGGTGTTCCATAATTACAGCATCATTGGAAATGATGCACAATAAAATATTCCATTAAAAAAAAAATTGTAGTGCAGTGAAATTCTCTGTCCGTACTATACAAGCTTTGGGTAAAAATATCAACCACAAAGCAGAAAAATGTAACGGTTGGTTATAAATTGTAAGTGTATTATTTAACTGTGTTTTTTATCACATTATGCAATCAAAATGAAATTATGCAATTCCATTTTCCATGTGACATATACCTTGATGTTTCTTTGTTGTCTTCACGCATCATATTTCATATTTCAGCTCAAACATGATCATCACTGACACTGTTGTCTCTTTGGTAACCACATCCACAAATATAAATAGTAAAATAATAATAGCTACTGTATACATAGTTTCTTTTTTCACTTTATTTCACTGTTTTAGATTAACTACATATACAGTGGGTACGGAAAGTATTCAGACCCCCTTAAATTTTTCACTCTTCGTTATATTGCAGCCATTTGCTAAAATCATTTAAGTTAATTTTTTTTCCTCATTAATGTACACACAGCACCCCATATTGACAGAAAAACACAGAATCGTTGACATTTTTGCAGATTTATTAAAAAAGAAAAACTGAAATATCACATGGTCCTAAGTATTCAGACCCTTTGCTCAGTATTTAGTAGAAGCACCCTTTTGATCTAATACAGCCATGAGTCTCTGTTTGAATTAAAATCAACCCCTGAGACATGAAAGTGCCTACAAGATGAAGAAATGTACACATAAACGCTCACACCATTCAGACTTTACGTTTCTCTGCACACACATACACACATTCATTTATTGACCTCAATTTCTCATCTTTAATGTTTATTGGCAAAGAAATAATTGATCACATATTGGTAAACTCATTTCCTTAAGTGAGAGGAGAGGAAGGGTAACTTCTCTATGCCCAACATTCAGATTATTGAATTTTCAGAAGAAACAGACTCGTATTGGCTGAGAGAGTTTCAGCCATATGAACTGAAATGGAGTACTTTGGGTCGTAATGATTTAGAGGGTGATTTGTATTGACTGACAGTTTCACAGCACTAATGTTTCAGTGTTTTAGTATGACATCACTGTCCTTGCTCTCTCTCTCTTTGATTGAGTCCTGACTGAACGAGAGACAGTGGCGCTTGTGGAGTGGAGACTCTGGCGCTTTCAACATTGCTGGGCTTTTTTTGAACTTACAAATACTGAATGATAAGTTTGAAAAGTGACGTGCAATTAACGGAGCGCAAGAGAAGAATTTGCGAATATTCAAAAAGGCAGCAGCAAAATAGAATTAATTTGAGCAGATAGGGTATCGTGGAAGACAACAAGCGGCTTTTAGCGGAAGGACGAAGCGTTTTAAAATGGAATGAAAGCACTTTTGGTGGCCGCTTCTGTGTTGTACATTGAACGTTTGAGATTGCATTGTGGGAAGAAACAATTTGAAATGACCCCGACATGTGTACAGAGGTGATTAAAAATGTGCATTCATTAAGACTTGAAACGTGTTGCAAAAGACTGCTTACTGTGAGATTACATACGTTTGGATTATAAAGCTACCAGAGAACAGTGTATATAAATAGTGACTGTCTACTTACATTTTTCTTAAAGGAACAAAAATGCTAATTTAATAGGGATTGGTCAGCTAGTCATCCAACATCTGACTAGTAATCTAGATTTGTTTTATTTTATTTATTTATTTATTTTGCAAATGAGTGGTGATAATCAGAATCATTCAGAATTTCCCCCCCTCGTTCAATTTGAACTTTTATTTTAATTAATTTTATTGATAATTGCAATCATTATTTATAGTGCTGTCAAACGATTAATCACGATTAATCGCATCCAACATACAAGTTTTTGTTTACATAATATACGTGTGTGTGTACTGTGTATGTTTATAATGTATATATAAACACACACACATACAGTATATATTTTGAAAATATTTACATGTATATATTTGTTTATTATGTTTATATGTAAATTATTTATATTACAGATAAATATATTTAATATATAAACATGACATATTTTTTTTTATATACTGTATGTATGTGTATTTATATATAGATAATAAATATACACAGTACACGCACATATATTATGTACACAAAAACTTTCTTTTGGATGCAATTAATCACGATTAATCATTTGACAGCACTAATATTTCACATTTATTTATTCTTTAATCATTTTCATCGTTTCATATTTCAATTTCTTTAATTGTATTTTCTTAAATAATTTTATTTTCAGTAGAATCATTTCAAATTTTATTTTCAGTCAGTTTATGATGAAAATGATTAATAAAATAAACTGACTGAAAATAAAATTTGAAATGATCAATGTTTCTAATAAAATTAAGAAATTGAAATATGAAACGATGAAAATGATTAAAGAATAAATACATGTGAAATATTAGTGCTGTCAAACGATTAATTGTAATTGCATAAAAATTTTGTTTACATAATATATGTATGTGTACTGTGTATATTTATTATGTCTATATAAATACGCACACATACATGTATATATTTAAGAAAGTATGTTATGTTTATATATTAAATATATTTATCTGTAATATAAATAATATAAACATAAACATATACATGTAAATACATGTAAATATTTTCATAATATATAATGTGTGTGTATTCACTCAGCACTGGGTTGTATTTAACCCAGCATTTTTTAGAATGTACTTTCTTAATTTGTTTGATTTTTTTATATTTTTTACTTCCATTATTTATTTTCATAATCATTGATCCTAGTTTTCAACAAGCTGCAGAATTATCCGTACTCAATACACAGTGCATTTTACATTATCAGCTGTGAGATTTGTCTAATCTCGAAGCGCCTCTTGTTTATATATTATGCATCCGTAAAAGAGCCTCTGCGAGCTAAATACATCTCATATTTATTTTCCTCAGGACACATTCTACACATCAAAGTGAAGCTCTTGCAAATATGCAAACATGTACGCAGCATATTTCAAAAATGGCTGTCAGATGGGCTGCCTGGCATGGAAGGATAACGAAATAAAATGTGACTAATGAATATTATTGTTTTTTTTTTTTTAATGCTGCATTTTTAAATGCTGCATTTAAATGCTGCCTTTTATATACGTATATATGATTCTGATACTAGTGAATTATAGATAAACATTGTATTTTAACAAATGTATGTTAACCTTACAAATATGAAACAATTCAATAATGGGAAGGTAATGTCTTCCTTTATAAATACAATAAATTTGTAAGTAAATTGTAGTTCATTTCGCTGTATTCTGCTCTTTTATATAGTAAGACAGCTGTGGTGCACTGCGTGAAAGCGAGACATATCCAAGATGACAAAGAGTCAAATGGAACAATCCTTTTCACCTTTCTACATCACGCAAACCCCTTCCTTAAATCTTAATTTTGATCAGCCAAATGAAAGATTCAGTGCTCCTATTAGGCATTTATATGATATCCTTTTGAAAACCTGTAATGTTAAAGAATGGAGCAGCTTTCACAAACCCCCTCTCTCTTTCTTCCTCTCAACCATTTCAAATTAAGCCTCTTAAAAGTCATTTTCACCACCGACGCCCTATTAAACTTAATGATCATTTAACAACAATACAAAGCTTTCTGTTTTCACCCAGCCTCAGAGGTCTGTATGCCTCCCGTAGTTTGGTTATTACTCATTGTTAGAGTTTGGGGCTAATTGCAGGTGTAGATGGAGGTAGGGTACCATTCCTCATAGCTCCGATTAGTTGAGACTTATAGTTCATTTGGCAGTTTATTACACGGCGCTCTGGAATACTTGATCCTGATTGGTCAGTCGTGGCATTCTGCAGTCAAATATTACATTGTATAACTGCATATTTGACTGTCCCTAGTAACACTGAGCTATTTTTTGTATCAGCCTGTTGTGTCTTTGTTCTCACACATTAAAACGATTTCATCCGTAAAAGAGCCTCTGCGGTTTGCAGCACTGTGTAAGGTTGCAGAGCGTGATGCGCAGGGCAACTGAACCTCCTGCAATGTTTATGAAACGGCATTTATATGATATCCTTTTGAAAACCTGTAATGTTAAAGAATGGAGCAGCTTTCACAAACCCCCTCTCTCTTTCTTCCTCTCAACCATTTCAAATTAAGCCTCTTAAAAGTCATTTTCACCACCGACGCCCTATTAAACTTAATGATCATTTAACAACAATACAAAGCTTTCTGTTTTCACCCAGCCTCAGAGGTCTGTATGCCTCCCGTAGTTTGGTTATTACTCATTGTTAGAGTTTGGGGCTAATTGCAGGTGTAGATGGAGGTAGGGTACCATTCCTCATAGCTCCGATTAGTTGAGACTTATAGTTCATTTGGCAGTTTATTACACGGCGCTCTGGAATACTTGATCCTGATTGGTCAGTCGTGGCATTCTGCAGTCAAATATTACATTGTATAACTGCATATTTGACTGTCCCTAGTAACACTGAGCTATTTTTTGTATCAGCCTGTTGTGTCTTTGTTCTCACACATTAAAACGATTTCACCTCAAATCAATCCTTTGACCATTTAGTTGCTTATTTCAAAAGTAGCCATGTAATCACCCAGAGGGGGGTTTAAAGGGGTTATATCCTGCCATTTTGCATTTTATTTTTCCCCAGAAATCTACATTTTTGTACTACCAAACATTTTTAGTTTAGTTTTGCTTGATCATTTTTGCCTCTTATGTTTTTTGCTACTGTAGCTTTAAGGCATCTATATGTAAATGACATCTTTATAATTGGTTAGTCTCAGCATACTGACAAAGTTCACGCTGTCATGCATCAGGGTAGGCCAGATTGCTGGATTTTGAATAGGCGTTAATGTATATATGTGGGCGGCATGTTAATGTGCTCGTGATGGTGATGTCACAGTACATCAAACCCTTTATTTCAAAACAGCATGAAAGGCCTGTTTTTAAAAGTACATAATGGCAGTTCTCCCAGTGCTGTCATTATTTATATACTATTTATTAATAATATATTATTTCTATAAATATTATTCATATTTTATTTGTTATAGTTCTCGTTTTTCAAGTTTTAGTAATGTTGTGCTTTGAGCATTTTTATTCGTTTTTGTTTTTATTAGATAATTATATTTAGCCTTCATTTATTTCATTCATTTATTAGATTTTCTCATTTTCATAAGTAACTAAGTTTATGTTTTTCATCTAATATTTGTTTTATTTGTAGCTTTGTTCCAAGAACAACAATTTTTTTGTAACACTTTATTTTAAGGTGTCTGTTACACATGTTACGTGTATTATAATAACAATTAATTATGCATAATTACATGCAACCCTATTCCTAACCCTAACCATATAGTAAGTACTTGTAGTTAATTAATATTACTCAGTACTTACATGTATAATTACACTGTAACAAGGACACCTTAAAATAAAGTGTAACCCAATTTTTGGTATCAATTTTACAGTGTCCTTGTAACTCAAGATACATGTACTTACTATAGTAACAACAATAAATTATGCATACATGCAACTAACCCTACAGACTGTTGTTAATTAATCTTACTCAGTACTTAAATGTACAATTACACTGTAACAAGAACACCATAAAATAAATGTATAGTTTTAGTTAAAAATAACTACACAGTTCCAAACCTGTTTAACTGTTGTTCTTCTGTAATGGTTCCTCATGTGTATACTGTATGTTTTCTTCACAGTGCCAGGCTTCCCATACCCAGCAGCCACGGCGGCGGCGGCGGCGGCGGCGGCGTACAGAGGGGCACACTTAAGAGGAAGAGGGCGCACTGTCTACAATACGTTCCGGGCAGCTGCACCTCCCCCACACATCCCAGCCTATGGGGGGTACGTAACTACACTCCCTTCTCACATACACACACACACACAAGTTCACCTTTAGTCCTCTCTTCTGACAGCCACTCCCCCTCGTCGCTGGGCTGCTGTAATGTGCATGCATCTCTACCTCAGCACACACAACCAGTGCAGCATGAAACCCATGCATCCTGCAAGTAATGATGACAGTCAGCTGCCATGCTGTTCTATCATGGTCGATGGCCTTAAGCGTTCCTTTTTTGTAATTTAACATTATGTAAATCCTCTCAAACTACTAAATGCAGAAGGATTTGTGATCTCTGAGCAGTCAAATGATGTTTCTGATTAGTTTGGTTCTGATTTCATGTGTGTAACTGCAAGCTGATAATGTTGATGGAGGTTCTGTGGAGTTTTGAGGTGTCAGGGGCCACAGACTATAGTAGTTCCCACAATCTGTCTTGTGTAAAATGGACAAACGCGAAGGTTAGAAGAGATTCACAGCAAAAAAATCTATTTAACACATAATCAAAGCTAAATAAAAACATGCCACTTAAACTGTGTGATAAAAAATAAATCTAAAGGAAATATCAGTGCTTGTAAGGCATTAATAGAATTTTTAGATTTAAGCCAAGTCATAAAACTACCCTAGTAAAGAAGTAATATATTTAAAATACTTTTATTTCATACTAAGTGTAGTTCAAATTTACTGACAGATAACTCGAGACTTACTGATATAAAACATTTTAATGAATCTTTATTTGGAGTATTACTTGTGCGCAATGCACATTTCTTATTAATAAGCTTAAAATGTGTTTTAATGTCACTTTTGATGAGGATTGTATGATCTTTGAATAATATCTGTCTTTAAATGCAAAATATTTAAAGTGTACCTAAAGTATACTTGCAATAGTTCCACTTTAGCACAATCAAATATACTTCAGTGTATCTTTAGTTGGACTTCAGCACTACTTCCGCACAATTAAAGTGCATTAAGTACAAAATTAGTTGTTCCAATTTAGGAGACTTGAAGTATACCAGTTTAGTGTACTAAAAGTACAATTGCGGGGCATTTTAGTAAGTACATAAAGATGAAAATGTATTTGAAGTATACTTAGCATGAAATAAATGTATTTCAAATACATTTAAGTATATTTATTTTTCACTAGGGTAAACACAAAATATAGATTGTATTTTATTAGATTTTAAAGAATTATCAGCATTTTACAGCTTTTGATGTGGCTCAGAAATTATAATTGTCACCCTCAATTACATTTTTAATGCCAATAACCAATCAAGTGATTTTCAAACTTTAATCTTAAAATAAAAAAAAAAAATGTTTACAAACTAATTGTAAATTATTGTTGTTAATAATTTTGGCCATTAATTTTTTTCAGACGTGTGATGTTTTAAAACTATTCCAAACCGATATGGTTGATTAATAATAATAATAATAATAAATTCATTTTCCCCTCATTTTTAACATTTACTAAATAGATTTTTTTTTCTTGTTAATTTTTTTACATTTTGCTAATGACTAAAATATGATGTGAGGAAATTTCAGCTCTCTGTGGCCCCTGTACAAAGCCTTTACTCCTTTCTAATTACTTCAAAAGTGCTTGTAGAGACCCTTTGTCACTCTTATTCAGTGTGTGTGTATTTCTTATTCTGTTCCACTAATCCTGGCTAGAGATGGGGTTGGTATTGCTTGCATGGGAACATGCACTAATATTGATGTGTTTTGTTTGGTGTTTGTCTGTGTGTGCGTGTGTTTGCATCTTTCCAGTGTTGTTTACCAGGACGGATTTTATGGTGCAGATATTTATGTAAGTATTTGCATGCCGTCCTTGAATGTTCATGTACATACCCCCTCCCTCCCCCCGCCCCATTCATCTCTCCGACTATAAACCAACCGATTCATTGTTCTTTCTATTGTTAGCATTTTTTAATTCTACCTTTATTAATTGTGTTAAGAGACTTTCACACACAAGTAAAGAACATTCTTCCTCAGCCAGCCGCAGCACACGACTATCAGTGACAGAGGAATAGACGTTGTTGAGTTTATTGTCAGTTGTGGTGAGACTCGGTGACCTGAAATTGAGCACTAGAGCTGGGCATGCTGGGATTATACAATGTGAAAACTCATATGTACCTACAGTAGACCTACACAGAATGTCCTTTTTTCTTGATTGTGAGGGGATTAGATGATATAAAATGTTATAAAATACTATCAGTTTTATAATATCAATAGGATAATAGCATAATAGCAATGAAGGGTCAGGTAGCATGTAAAATTGTAAGTTTTTAATGAATGGTTAATGTTCAAATTCTGCATATCTTCAACACATTCATCTGCGAGTTGATCACATTTGGAGATTAGTAGAAGCATCTGGAGTTTAGGTGGGGTAACAGAAAGCTTGTTCTCCTCAAGGCCATGTCTCATTGAGCCTGACACAGCCTGATGTATCTCCCCCAATTCTCCCTACTCTGGGACGAAACAAATTGTACAGGGTACAAATGTGCGTGGAAATGGCGGGAAGGCTGCTGTAACACTTCCTCTGTTCTCCTGTCATTAGCGCAGTGCCACAGTGGCTGGGAGTGAGTGTTCTGCTGCGATAAGATCATCTAATATTCATTAGAAACAATCCAAGAACTGTATTTGTTTATTACCAATCTTAATTTGCTGAGTGCTCTGCTAAATGTACTGAACGTTGGCTGAGGTCTGTAAAATGAAGCTACGCTAGCATAGAACAGACAGCCTTAAAATGAGCAAGTTAAACAAAGGAAAACTGGATACATACCACATGCAGGGGTGCAATAAGGCAGGAAGATCTACCAAATATAAACGACACAGCGTGTGTAATATCTCTCCATTTAATCTGTAATATATAGTGCTTCGCATTTCCCTCATGTGGCTGACTTTTCATTTCTAGAAGATTTAGGAATGCCCAAAGCCACACTGTAACAAACAAGTCCATTTGCAACATCAGTAATGATTGGAAACCCTCCAATATGACCTGATCGTTTTGATCTGGGAACATAAGTTCTATCATTAGAAAGCCTCTGCTTTTTCTAATGATGTAATTATTTTGTTTCACCAACATAAGCCTGTTTGCTTCTAAAGAAACAGAGTATAAGAATAAGAAAATTGGCTAACACTTTATTTTAAGGTGTCCTTGTTACACGTTACATGTACTTACCATTAAAATAACAATAAATTATGCATAATTACATGCAAGTAACCCTAAACCAAACACTAATCCTAACCCTAACCATATAGTAAGTACATGTAATTAACATTACTCAGTACTTAAATGTATAATTACACTGTAACAAGGACACCTTAAAATAAATTGCCTCTAAAGTTTCCGAAAATGTAGACTTTTTTTGTTGTTCAAACATACGTTTAATTATTTAAGGCATCAGTAACAGGGTAAGTAAAATTATTATGGATTTGCAATATTTTGCATATATTTAACAATATAATATAATATAATATGAAACCTTTTCCAACTTATGAGCTATGGCAATTTGAATAGCTTTCAAACTGCCATTTGATGTGAAGCAGCAACAGCAATCTGTCACGCCACATTAAAGAGTGTCAAAATAACATGTATTATTTGAATCTAATGAAAAAAAATGATATATTTGAAAGCTGAGACTGTTTTATCAAAAAACGTTTTTGAATTGCTGCTTTTGAATGTGTCTGTTTTTGCTCTGCCAATGCAAATAGACCACAACTGTTGTTGAATCAGTGTTTTGAACAAATCGGTTGAGTGAATAATTAAATGACTCATTCATCAACAATCATAAAAGTCCCTTTTTCAGTTCAGTGTTTAAACCAATTTGGTTCAATGAATCCCCATTAAGACAGTCACTTGTTGCCACCTACTGGTATGTCAATGTAACCTGCAATAAGAGTCAATGAGTTATTCCCACCATTAATGCATAGTATGATATAAACACTGAGAAGTCTTGGTGCTGTTGGACTATTACCGGGGACTGGAATTATTGTTGCATAATGTTACATATGCACATATAAAGCACTTGAAAAGTTTTATTATTCTGTATTATATCCCCCTGTGGAATCCTTTCAAGTAGCTCAGGCCATCAAGTGGTTGTGGCAGGCAAACACACTCTAGTAAAAGTATGAGAATCTCACCATGCGCATCAATAACCGTGATAAACTCACCATGTCCACATGCACTCCAGACAGATACAAGCAGTCAGGAGTCAGTGGAGCCCTATCTATTCCTCTCTCTCTTTGTGAGTCATAATGATAAATTGTGGCCGATCTCCAGATGCGCATCTCAACAATAAAGTCGTGACCACTGCTCTCACCGCACCTGCACACCCTGTCAGTTTCCCTGAGGTTAGTTGACCAAGCCTAATGGAGCTTCAGAGACATGTAGATGCCCCCGGCCCCCGTCTGTCAGAGATGACAGCACTGGTGACTAAGGGGCCCCGTTCAGCCGTCCCGCTCTGCAGCTCATCACACCGGCTTTAAATACAGCCTAGATGCATCACGGTCGTGTGTCAGGCTCAGTGTTGCGCGAGTAAATGAAATGGTTTGTTAAGGGGCCGGCCACGCAGTGGGAGTGTCGAATTACCCGGTGAGTCATTATGGAAGGAGTTAGAGGATGGAGGTGAACTGCGAGGAAGTGGGAGGGTGAGGAACATGAAGAAAGTTGTGAGAAGGAGCTGCTGTTATGTATGTGTGAGTGCATGCAGGGAGAGGGAGGGTGGTAATTACTTCAGCCTGAAGGCCTGGTGTGGAGAACAGCAGGGTCAGGAGCCCAGTAAGCCCTGGAGGAACCGAGGAAGAGCAGAGGTGTACAGATGGCCTTATCGGTTAGTGTTTTCTGTGGACTGATAATAGGAATGGTAAAGGAAGCTGTGCCTCCTCAAAAAATAAATGGATTAAGGAAAAAATCACCAGTACAACAATACAAAAAATATTAGGAAATACAATGTTTCATCACATAAGCAAGAGTGCACTTTTGCTGAATATTTAGTCAAAAAAAAAGATTTTGCTCTGGTTCCAGGGAGTACTTTGGAAAGACTTTTATTTTATTTTTTTATTTCTTGCTTTCTTTGCTTCCCAAACGATGAGTACTTAATCAGCTCCTAGTAAACAACATGTTTTTCTTAAATATATACATGCATGTGTGTTTGTGTATGTACATATACATAATAAATACACACAGTACACACACATATGTTCGTCACTAATTCCGAGTATGGGTCACCATACTTGGCCACATGTCACGTCACTTAAAATTATGTAAACAAAAACATTTATTTTGGATGCGATTAATCACGATTAATCGTTTGACAGCACTAATATATATTTATAATATATATTTTTTATATATTTCTTTGGTAAATAATATGTGTAGCACTTTATGTGTGCATATTGTAATATGCCACACATATTACAATATGTGTGGCACTTTAATGGAGGAAAGAAAAAAGAAATAAAATCATCCTAATAAAATTGAAAACTTAATTTTCATCTGTTTTGAATTTAATTATTATTATTAAAACTCAATCAAGTGTGGAATAAAATCAAAGAAAAATTACAGAAAGTATGATGACAAGTTAAGGATATGGAAATAAATATAAGTCATTTAGATAAATATTGTTATAATGATGAAACCATTTTTAAAGTGCAAGTATGATCATTTGTGCTGATGACAGCCTGTGCATCCAGACAGATGTACATTTTTGATTTAGTTTTTATAAAGGGGTCTGATGGGGCTGTGGGGGTAGATAAGACAAAACTGGTTGGGAAACACTAAATTAGAGAACAGGAACTAATTGTTATATAATACAAAATTAAAACGAAAGTCCAGAGCACAGTAATGGCCGTGTGGGAGTATTTCAAGAAGACAGCTATATCTCGTACCGTTATTGACTATGAAAAACGCTGCTCAAATCAGCAGGCATATGCGCTTTTGACTGCATGTGTTTGTTTGGCTTTTTTTGCCTTACTGAACATCTGATGTTACCGTTCCACATGTTGAAATGATTCCTTTCTCCGTCGTTGGCAAAAAGAAGTAGTGTAGTATGACAGCGCTACATAATTAATCCTCAGATGTATGCATGAGAGGAATAAGAAAGTAGGTTGAGTCACCAACATAAGGCTGCTGCTTTGTAATTAGATTATGCATATTTAATAGCTATGATTATGACATGTGCGTCCCCTCTTTTGGAGCATGCGGTGAATCGCGAGCGCTGATGCCGTGAACGCAGAGCGAATGAATATGACATTTTCGCATGCCGCTCTCTCCAAAAGCACTCCATGCCTCTTCATCTCCATGAGATTCAGTCGTACAGTCTCTGTCACAGCACATAACATCAAACTCCTCTGAGGTCAAACTCTCTCCCTTCGTCACGAGCAGAGGCAGGCGCACGCAAAAAAAAAAAAGCCAGCCTGATTTATTAGCCTAATTCCCCTTGCCAGTGGTGATGGGGAATATCACGGTGCCCAGTGCAGTAATTGGCCAATTAAATCAAATGAGATGTCACTGCAAATGTAATGGTGAAACACATCCATGGCGGAGCAACTGTAACTGCAGAATGAAGTGGGATAGACCTGACAGTTCCTCAGAGATGAGACAAAAGCCTGTTTGGCAGGGCAACCAGAGGAAGTCGTCTTGGCTGATTTTGATTTCCTTTTCTTTTTCTCTCTCTCTCTCTCTCTCTCTCTCTCTCTCTCTCTCTCTTGTCAATTGTGAGTGTAAGCTTATTGCAGATGGCACGCAATCAAGAATAAAGCAAATTCGGAGCCTTGATGTGATTGTAAAACATTCGCATGACACGA